ACCATGTGGCTTGTAGGCTTTTGGAACTGTTTTCTGAAAGGCATTGGGAAGAGATTGGACCTCTGGGCTAGAGAAACCCTAGAGTGCTATAAGCCACAGGGATCCAACCCTGTGACACTGTGATGTGATGCCATCATCAAGAAAACAGCTGGGCTGCATTCATAGCCATGCTGGGATGCAGTAGCTTGCAGGCTGAAGGTTGGGTGTGGCTGCTGTAAACAGAACTTGGAGGGTGGCAGTATGGAAGGCCAGAATGCCGAAATCAAAGAAACAGATCCTGGCTCATGACATTTCACATGACATTTCACATGTCACAGAAGAGGGCTCTGAGGACGTGGGCTAGAGGCCACCTGTGCTATTTTCTGGCAAAGAAGCTGCCTATGTTTTGCCCGTGTCTAGAGAACTTGTGTTGCTCTACATGCTGTAGATATTTTATAGATAATTTATGTAGCTTTTGAATTTTGCGTTTGTAGTGATTGATCATTTTGTATTCTTCACATCTGTAGAAATTTAGATTATGATATTACTTGATTTTTTTAACAATAAAATAAAAAAATGAAACATGTATTAATGTTGAGTTACCTATAATTTTTTCCCCTGCCTTTGGGGTTTTACAAAACTGTTTTAATTTTAAAAACTTATTTATATTATGTGAGATGTCTAAGATATGAGTTATTAGGATTGAGACTCAGTAGATGTTTGAGTAAGTACACGGGTCTGATTTAATGTTCTTTTGCCAGTGATTAGTAGAAGAGCTAGTCATTTTCATTATGTCTCTTAATTGCTGGTTGGCTGATAGACTTATATAGCCCAGATTTTGACATTACTTCTAGGCTATAGAAACTAACGATAAGCGTCTCAGTTCCCTGAGATGTATGATGCAAGATGTTTGTCATGGGATTGGTCATGTTTTTGATATTTTTGTAACATCTATCTTTACCCTTTACTACAATTAGAACTTTCTGTGTTTGGCAGCAATACTTTCTAATGAAAGCAATTTTGCATGCATATGTACATGCACACACATGCATGTTTAGATGAAATAAACACAAATTTTTATTTTCTAGAATGAAAGTTTGGTGTAGCGATCAGGTAGTATTAATCAGAAATGAACTTATTCCTGGGGTTCACACTAAGCTGGCATGTTGAACTGATCTGGGTCTCAATGTGCACATCTGAATTCATTTTGTAAAATATGGCAAGCAGCTGCATCCCTGTGGAAAGCTGAAACAACTGCAGGACATTAACCCATTGAGAAGATTACAGTAGGTTTTCAGTTCCATGTTAACTGTATTTATTAGTGAAAATTGACTTGAGTGCTTCTGCTTTTAACAGACTTTTTTTTTGTCTGGAAGAAAGGAAATAAAGCATTGGAATGATAGGACTTTGATGTGTAAAGGAGTTAATGTCTAAAGAAGTAATTATCTAAATCATCAAACAGAATGTGGGTACAGGAAAGAATTATTTCAGAGTCTGATAAACTATCAGCTCTTCATGTCAAGAAGAAAGTTATTCACCTGTTTGATTTAGAAATTAAGTAACGTGTTTGTGAAAAGCTGATTGTGGTTGTAATACATTTGGATTGGAGCCCTTCACCTGTTACCAATGAATACCCTTGATAGGAAACACTTTTAGTAGGGACACAACTGAAAGAAAACTGGGCTCAAACTTAGGGCCTGGCCCTTAGTGTAAATTTGCTCTATGAAATATGTGCTCTTTAGAGAGCTACAGTAGGATGACTGGGTTTGAAACTAAAGAAAGGAACTGCTTGAGTTCCTCACACTGTTCTAGCAGTAGTGTGTGTATCAAATCTGAAATGGGTCAACTCAGATCTTGGTTGTGGGAGGCTGGGGTTAATACAGAATCCTTGAGGTTAATATTTCCTCTTGGCCTTGTGTTGGAACCACTGGGGAACACTGGGCAGTGCAGGGGCTGGGGCTGGGGGTCCTTGTAAAAGGGAGGCTGTGTGTTCTCGTTTGCTGGTCTGTTTGTAGAAATCTGTAGCCCTTGTTTTTCCCAACCCAAGTTTCAAGCTGGAGTTGCCTGGAATCCCAGCTACTGGGAGGTGGAGACAGGGAGGCTGCATCGCAAGCTCATGGCCAGCTTGGAATACATGAGTCTGTCTCAAAACCAAAACAGAACAAGGCACTGTAGGCAGTTTCTTTCCTTCCTCTGTTTGCAGAAAAATAGTAGTTATTTCAAAAATTTCTGTGAAAAACATAACAAATTTAGGCTTAAAGAAAAGTGATAGCTTTTCTTAGCATTAGTTTTTTTTTTTTTAATGTGTTTGAGTGTTAAGTTCAGTTTGAGTGAAACTTTTTGTCTTTCAGCACGCTCATGGTCTGTCCCCTACTTAGTTCTAGTCTGCTTAGCATAGGCCAAAGGAATATTGGAGTATTTCAGACATAATTACATGTAAGTATGTCTACATATTTATTATGACATAATTAAGGTGCTGTTGTCCCTAGATCTCTGTGCCATGTTGCCTCTTCAAAAAACTGCCCATTTTGGGCCGTTGAGTGTCCTGTCCTTGAGCACCCGTGGTCTAGATTCCCATGGTGATTTTTATTATTTTCCACGCATTTGGTTAGATTAAAAGGACATCTCAGGAGAATGAATTTGACAGCCACATGGAGACTGAACTGAGTGTGAAAGAGATAAGCGTTTGTAGAGACTATAGGGTAGAGAGAGGGGGGGAAGGAAGAGAGTCTGGTCTTCTTACACACCATGGGATACAGGGAGGGTGAGAGGCAAGATGGGGTTTTTGAAGTAAAGGTATTTTAAATTGATATAAAAGCTTTTGTTAGATCAAGATGGGGTATTTTAAATATTTTTATTTTAATAGCTAACATTTATTGTGTACTTACTGTATCAGGAGTGTCTCAAATTGTTTTCTGTATGAGTTCATCTAATTGTCACAATAATCTTTAAACCATAGGGCTATTATTCACATTTTATAGATGAGATAATGGAAGCAAAGAGAAGTAAAGTAACTTCTGTAAAGTCCTAACAAAGTAACAGATCTGGGAATTGAACCCAGACAGTCTGCCTCTGAAGCAAACACTGAAATCAGATCTTTATGCACAACTTTACCTTCTTCTCAGGCATGCTGCAGCAATCAGCTGAAGCATGTTTTTGTCCATTACTGTGAGTCTGGTGATCACAAGAGGGCCTCAGGAGATAGCTTGTGTAGACACTGTGTCATTTGCCGGGGACTGTGTCGGGGAAGCTCATCAGTGACTTGTAGCTCAAGGAGATGATAAACTCCGCCTCTGAGATGTGGAGAGCAGGAAAGCGTCTTCCATGGGCCACTGAGAGCCGGTGCACAGGATTGGACTGCATGTTTCCGCTCTTGGGAAGTATCCCCCAGGATGAGATCTCCCACCTTCTATTAATATATAGACTGTGCTCAACTCAGCCTCCCCAGCCAGGTGACCTTTAGGTTGCTGTCTTCAGGTCAGATGTTTCACCATAGTAAAGTCTCTCTGCCTGGGCTTTGCCTTCTGCGGAGCTGTGGACAACCAAGTCCTTTGTGCAGCACCAATTCTAGAGGCTGCTTTACCAACTAGATTATTCCTGGACCTCTTTCAACTGCTTTATCATGTGTTACCAAGTTTGTATGTTCTTCCATAGAATCTGCAAAGTATTTTTAATTTCCATCTTAGGGAAAATGATGGTATTACAAAGTTTACAAACACATAGGCAGTAATATTTATTGTGTGGTAGTTGGTACTTTACTTACTTCAGTGACTTTTATGTTCTTTTGACTAGTTCTTGTTTACTGATTATTATTTAATTTCGTGCCATGCACAATAAATAAAAAAGGCATGTGTTAGGATTGGTTAGTTATCCATTATTTATCAGCCCAATTTAATAGGGAAAATGTCACATTTTAAATTGAGCCAGTTATTTGCTCCTAAGATTATAAAATATAATGCCCACTTCTGACCTGTTGATTGATTTTCTACTATAATTTAGGCTTTAGTTCAAATGAGATCTAGACTAGACTGTGGTTTTCTCATTTTGTATATTATAGTTATAAGAACTTTTAAAGTAGATTCTTACCTGGTACTCCCAAAGTATGAGTATGAGTGTGTGTGTTCTGTGCATGCACATGTTAGTGTGTGTGTGTGTGTGTGTGTGTGATATGTGGAGGCCAGAGGTTGATATCAGATTGTCTTTCTCAGCTGCTGCTTCATGCTATTTTATTTATTATAAAACAGTATTTCTATTTGAAAAATGTTTGAAGCACATGCTGCATTCTGTCCCAGATGCATAAGTGTTCAGTAATGATTAGGTATGTCGCATCATGCTTACTGTAGCAACAGATCTATTATCATTGTAATTCAGAATAGGTGAGTTCTCAAAGCCATTCCTCAAAACCCAGAGCTCCATGTTTTGGCTAACCTGGCTGGCCAAGGAGCATCCGGGACCCACTTGTCTCTCTCTGCCCCACGGCTGGGGTTACAGGAGTGTGCTGTTGTGCCTGCTTTCACGTGGGTGTGGGTTCTCAACTCAGGCCCTCATGCCTGCAGAGGGATCATGGTTCCCACAGCCAACTCTGCAGATCCCAAAGTGACTTTTGTTTTTGTTGGTCTGTGTGAAACTGGGGTAATGTTTGTTGAGGGGCTACTGGACACTCCCTGAAGAAGTGCTAATGAAACTTTGGTGATGTGTAACACTCTGGAGAACTACCAAACTATGCTAGAGTAGTTTAATGATTATTTTTGTTCTATTACTATAGTGTAGATACTGAATGTATACTAGTCATGTAGATGATTATTTGGCACCTGAATTAACTAGACAATTTTTTCTCCCACTGTACTACTTTTCATTTGAATAAAGACATTAAGTAGAAGAAAGTTGGATTTATACAGAACTAAAATTATCCAAAATTTGAAGATTTCTATACTTTTTGAAGTAATTTAAAATCACTTCTATCTTGTGTACTTTTTATAGCTAAATATGTGTGTAAGAATTATTTTTTCCTTTTATTCTAGATGAATAATACTGCAGCTAGCCCAATGTCTACTGCCACTTCAAGCAGTGGAAGAAATACAGGGAAGACTATAAGCTTTGCTGCAGAATTGCAGAGCATGATGTAAGTATGTCTTTACATAGTATTACTGCTGCTATTTTAAATTGATTAATGTTGAAGAAGGAAATTGAAATAAAATGTATAAACCTTAGCTTAATGTAATTCGTATTTAAGCAAAAGTAAAATAATCTCAACATTTAGATAGTTACATGTTAGACAGGCAGAATTAGACAGAAGTGCTGCAGCGGTGGCTGCATTTGAAAACTGAGTGCCAGCTCACCTTTTTGTGGGTGGTCAAAATGTTTTCAGAGACGTTTGCAGTTTTTCTCAATTCTCCTAATTCTGTGAGCCTAATTCAAAGTAGTTTTAATTTTGATAATATTTGAACCATTGCATTTCAGATTATTGTGAGAAATATAAAGCGTTAAAGAAAATCACGTGTATTGAATCTTTGAGAAATTGTTCTTTTGTTTAAGAATTCTTCCTGAAGGTTATCCTTAGTTTGCAGTGAGTGAGACAATTTGTCTTAATTGGGTGGGGTAGCAGATTACTTCTTTCCTGGTAGTTTAGGAGACAGGCATCTACAGGAAGAGGCAGCGTTAGTGATTTCCCAAAAATCAAGCAGTTTAAAAGAATGTTTCTGTGGAGAGTTAAATGCTTTCTTCATGTGTGTATTGATGGCCTTTAGAGTGGGTTGACACTACTGTGTGACAATGGTAGTTCAAAGCACAAGTTTGGTAAGTTTGATCGCATTCAATAGTCTCTCAGTAGACATACTTCAAAGACAGTATCCCATTGAAAGCATTAATGTTTTCTGCCCTCAGCATTTCTTTATAGTCTTAATTATTGAGGGTCTTTGAACACTTTGATTGTATGGGTTATCTATAATTATTGAGTTCTTAGAATTTAAAACTGAAAAATAAAAATTTATGCCTTCATTTGAAAAATAGTAAAGCTTTATGTGAATATAATCTATTTCTTATAAAAATTATGTTCTAAAACCAAAAATTGATAATACTTGTGATTGCTAAGATGGGGATTAACACTAATTAAGAAGCTGAATTTCGTGAGCCTGCCCGTATTTTTAATTGTGGAATGCTTTACAGTTTATATATATGTGTATACTTGCTTAAGTTTTTCATTATAGTTTGATAGACTTTTTGTTAGCAAACTTTTGCTATGTTATACTAATTATATTTAAAATATTAAGTATGTACTTTATGATAAGGTGATGTTTCATTTTTTTCCCCTGTGGCACTAAATTGATTTTCTTGTATTTTTTAACTGTGAATTTGGACATTTTCAGATTCCTTAAATTACAGCATAGTAAACTCCATATATCCTTTATCTAAATTTAATAATAATTGCTCTTTCAAGTCTTTTTTTTTTTTTTTTTTTTTTTTGGTTTTTTGAGACAGGGTTTCTCTGTATTGTTTTCGAGGCTGTCGGTCCAGCCTGGCCTCGAACTCACAGAGATCCGTCTGCCTCTGCCTCCCGAGTGCTGGGATTAAAGGCGTGCGCCACCACCACCCGGCTTCAAGTCTTATTTGATCTTGTTTCCTACATTCATTTTTTCAAAAATTAACCTCATAGGATTTATTAAAACAATATATGTTAGTAGGTAAAACACCAGGTGATGTATAGCGTAAGTCAGCAGACTATAGCCATGTAACCTGTTTCAGTAAAGGAAGTTTCATTGGATGTCAGTGATGCTCACTTATTTATCTGTTGCTTGTTGCTGTCTCCATGCTAATGGCACAGCTAGGTATTTGTAGCAAACACCATGTGAACTGTGAAGCTGAAAATGTTTGCTGTCTAGGTTTTAGCAGAAGTTGACCTCTGAGCTATAAAACCAGTGCTCTATAAAAAAGAAAACAGAAACTTAGAAATGGTTCTGCCTAATATTTATATTTGATAGACCTAAGACCATTTAAGAAAGTTGAGAAAAAGAAAAGAAAAGCTAAATTCAGCACTTTGTATTAAATACTTTTACACACATCGTCCCAAGCGATCTACCTAAGCTGGGTTCAGAATGTAAAGGTTATTGTTGGCTGCGACTCTGGAATAAGTGTGCACTTTTCCTTCATTGCAGACTTCAGGGAGAGGCCACTCCTAATAGTACATTCAGCATTGAGAGGCTGAAGCTTTCCCTTTATGAATTTTTCCTCAGAAAGGGAGCTAGAGTCAAAATGAGGGGAATCATTTTAAATTTGCCAATATACCCCATTGCTTTAAAAATTTCAGGCTTTAGATGCCATGCTCGTGAAATCAGTATACATGCAGTCCGTGATCTGCATCAGGAAATGCAGACTTAATTCCTTGAATATTGGTTGGAATTTTACTCCCAATCCCTCCCCGTGCTGCTTCATAGTTCAGCCTGTTTGGATGGTTGTTTTTCAGTCCTCCATTGCTGCCATCTTTCATGCCTATGAACTAGTAGTAAGTTGTTTGTCTTTTGGCTACAGGCTGTCTAACTGGAACATTGCATAGCTTTTTTTCAAAGATTGGTATTGCTGAAAGCTATCTAGATGTGAATCACAATGGAAGCCGTCTGTCCAGTTAATAAATACAAAGTGGCAGCCTTAAACAGAAGAAAGCCCTTCATCCCTGGAAGAGGCTTAAGGCAGCTACTGTGTTTTGTCCACCAGAGGAGGTAGAGGGATGACACAGGCAGAGAAAAGAACAGTCTGCTGGAATTCCTTGCCAAGGGCAAGTTGTATACCAGGGATGTGAATGTGTGGGAGCTGATTGCTTGTGGGTCTATTTTGTGTAGGGGTGGGGTGTCTAGTCTGCCTGTAAGTCTGAGAGCCACTTGCTTGCCTGGGGCTGGAGGGAGCCAGAGAGGGCCCTGGATCCCCTGGAACTGGAGTTAGAGTTGGCTTTGAGCTGCCATGTGGGTGCTGAGGGTCTAACCTGGGTCCTCTGGAAGCAGCCAGTGCTCATCTGTTGAGCCTCCTCTCCAGCTCCTCTAGTTTTGTCTGTTTTAAAGGTTCTTAGTAAACTATAGTTACTACTGTAATTTTGTAATGTCTGTCTTTTGTCCCCATTGTGTGTTTTTAAGCTTTATTAATCAAGTTTTCCAGTGTTACTAAAACTATGAAATAAAATATTGGAACCTATTACCTTAAAGGCAAAGTAGTAGGTTTTAATCTAATGCCCTTTGTTACTAACTTTTTAATTGTCCTTTAAGGAAGCTGAGCTGATTTACGTTTCTGTCCATTCTGAGAGTGTCCCCGCCTCAGTCTATCTCTCCTGACAACAGCAGAGACTGGTGCTGTGCTGTCTGACAGCCTGACCGCTGAGCTGCACCATTGGATGTGTTTAATGCTCTTCCTCTCAGCACAGCTTCTTTTCCTTCCAACTTCTCGATTTCCTGAGGCTTATTAAGATGTTCAGTGTCTTAAAAAGACTTCCCATTTGTAGATCACCTTTGGCATTCCCGTGTCCCAGCATCTGGTTTCCTTAGGGAATTGTCCTTCTTCTCTTCTTTTTGTGTGTAGCTTAGTTTTACACTGCCTTGTTGCTCCTGCTTTTGACCTGAAGTCTTCTTAATCTTTCCTATATTTCAGGGTTCGATTTCCATGTTTAATATTAATGCATTTTGTTGTTCTGTGTTGTCAGGGAGGGTTCTTCCACCACAGAGTCCATAAGCCTGCCTTCCTCCCTTCACAGCTGAGACTCTACTGTTACCAGATAATACGTGATTCCCCTGCTTCTCTGCTTTGTTCCATTGACTTCTCTTCCTTTGCCAGCCCTGAATTATTGTAGTTATTATAGCTTCAAGTGTTATAGTTCAAGTCTGTCCACATAAGTTTTCTTTTTAAAATATTTTTGGCCCCTTCTTATTTTTATGTTTCCAGATGAATTTTTAGGAATCATTTCAACAAGCTCCAAAACAAATTCTAAGTACAAATTTTAAGCACTTTCATTTTTGTTTCTTTTTATGCCTTTTACTGTATTCTCAGATTTCAGACATGGATCTTTGCAATCCATTTTACTTTTAAAGTTGATTAATGAAGTAATTTTACATTTAGAAAGTTTATTTGAAACAACCCCTGATAGAAACAGTAACAACAACAGACTAATGAGTGGGTTGCTTAGCTAGTGTATGATTAGAGACCAGAAAACCTCTCAGTTTTCTTTAATATTTGTTTTTCTTGCTTGAGTGTAGAATTGTGCTATGACTGCAGTATGCACAGATCCAGCCAAGTGGTCACTCTCATTTCAAATCAGGGCAGTGATTTTCTTAATCTTGAATGGCAGAAATGGCCAGTTTTAAATGGTCAGTTCAATTTTTAAGAATGGATTTATAAGAGTGCATTCTGACTAATAGGGTAATATACATCAGTGTCCATTCACTGGAGTCCAGAGAGACTGAATATATCTAATGTATTCATTCTTGAACATAAGAAAAGATGATAGGATGGGCCTTCCTCTGACCCCTTTAATGAAAGTGTTTCTGCAGTCCATCAGGAGCGTGGATGAGCACTGAGCACACACAGATAGTGGGCCTGGGGAGGTTCACTAGAGGTCAGTGGGCTTTCTCTGGCTATTACAGAAGGTCGTTATAGAAGGGTCACATGTGGTCTGTTCCTGTTATAAAATGTGCTACTTTTCGTTTTATCTACTTAGCAGTTTTGCTGTCTTTCGCTCTTTGGTGTTTGCTGATTTGTTGTCCCAGAGGTCAGCAGTGCTTCAATGCCACGGCACTTAGACGGCGTAGCACGGCCCCTGGCAGTGATGGCGGGAAGCTTGCGAACAGTTGTGAAGGGTTGTCATGTTAGTAAGAAGGCGGGCAGAGAGGGCTGACTGCAAGCATGTTAACTGGCGTAAGCTGCCTGGGACGCAACTGAGGCAGGTGGCATGCTTTTCCTACAGCTGCGCTCTGCTGCTGTGCATAGGCCAGGAAGGAAGTCAAGGCGATTGGGTGGATTTAGGAGTCTGAAGGGCTGATGGTATAGAAGTTATTAATTTGACATGTTGGAGGTTGTAGCCCACAGGTGAGGTGTAAAGTACAGTGGAGTTGATCAGCTTGGACACAGAGTGTGAGAGAGGATTGGAGC